GATTAGACATGTTTTTTTATTATTGTCATTAGTGATTATCTCAATTTTGGCTAAAAGAATTGACAAAATCCCACACACCATTCCTTTAAGGTTGCTGTAGGCTACTGGTGCACAGTAATCAAATACATTTGTAATTCAGTGCCTTTCTTTCTGTGTTTAATAAAATACAAAACTGATATTAGATTTGTGATCAGCCAAAAATAAACCTCAGATATCTTTATCGTACCTGAAGTGAAAAAAGTGGATCAGTGTATCCCAAGTTTTGTGCGCATCATCTATGTTACAATGTAGACACCTGCAACTCATATACAAGTGTTCATCAAGTGACACCTTCAATAGCATCAATAATTCCAAAAGTACCATAGTGTACTGTGTGCCATGTTGTTTTTGACTACTTCAACCCATGGCTAAATGAATTTGTCACCAAAACAAATKGATTACAATGTTATGTACCATGCTAGCTTGTTTAGTGAACAGTCCAGTGCAAGCCAGTCCGACTCATCCCACACTCCACACATGAGGAGATGCTGATATGCGGGGGAGGGGGGTGGGCGTCTTCGATTGTTAAAGTATTTAAAGTTAAAAATGTGTTGAAGCCAAAACAATGTTATGTCTACAATGTGTTACTGGTTACTAAAGGAGATAATTTTGAGCCACTTTGGAACGCATATTGGATTTGTACAATGCTTTTCCTCAAAATACAATAATTTTTAAGCCACTGATATGATCACCTGTAAAACAGTTTTCAATCCATGGCACCCWGTGAGCTACATAACTCTTGGGAAAGAAGATCAATTCTAGCCTGTGATTCTGCATTCTGGAAGTCAGGCCAGCTCTGACTTTGAAAAAGCTTATYCAGCCAGTTGAACAGAACCACTTTTAACACTTTATTTGAATGAGCATAGATACTACTGGTAAAATTTAAGAAAAAAAACAAAACACTTCTGTTGTTTTATGTCTAAATTCTGCAAAAGCGCCCACTGTCTTTTCAATTGTTAATGAATACAATTTCCAATTAGCATTTTGTTCTAAATAAAGGAATTTTAAAGTGGTCTTTAAATTTCTAATTTGGATCTGATTGTTCAGAATGGTTTAACTTCCAACTGAAATTCTGGTTTTGTGTATTTTCTCTGGTTCAAACAACCTTGTCAACGCCGGTACTTATCATTTACCCCCCAGGAAGTTGGCATATCTGTGCCATTTCCCTCCATGAAAAATGGCAATCCTCAAAGTAAATGAACATTCAGCCTCACAGTATCCATTCTCATTTCATTTAGCAAATGTGCTTAGCTGTTGCCATGCAACAATGCCTTTCTGAGCTGAACCCTCATCCTCTCCCCAGCTTCCTCTCCCCTGTCTTCTTTCCATCTCAAGTCACAATGTCACACTTTCTTGTGAGTGGGGCCTAATTTACCGCTCTCCTTTTTGGTCACAGTTGCTATTCGATCCACGTAGGAGCAGGAGTAATGAGATTGAATCTTGATGCGCTCACTGCGTCCCGCTGACTTGTCTGTCTCATCAGGGACAGAGGACAGTGTGGAGCCTTCCCTGATATTACCTCTACCTGTGTAAGGGGACGCTGGTCACTATCCTGCCAGGCACTGATCCAATAAARCACAACAAAGGACTGTGATCAATACCAGACGTCCCACTCCCATGCACCCCTCTGCTCTCATTCACACACCTATTAGTTAGGGCGTAATTGATTGGCCCACTGTTCATTATACTTTTGATATGGTTTTCATTAAATGGCCACTGCATGTGAACAGTACGATTTTGCCATCCACTGCTGCTGTGGACCTGAACTGTTAGATGGAGACTTAGCGCTTCAAACCTTTAGAAAAGTTTATAATAAAGAGGATCCAAGTTKATAGCTACAGAAATAGAAAGAAAAAAAAAACTGAAAAAGACTGGAAGAAAGTGTGAAAGGAAGCCAGTGTAAAAAAAGGGAGGTATTGTATGCATTTCTTTTGTCTGCTTCTGTTCAAATCCATTATACCCTGAAGGCATGCAACAGATAATCTGCTTGTTTTGTCTTCGCTGCCTGGCTTCTCAAGAAAACARTCTTAATTTTTAACTGGTGTATACTCTTCTCTTTTTCTCCACCCTTTACATTCTCATCCCTCCCCACCTTACACCGCCCGACACTTTCCATTTCTTCTCTTTTATCCTTCCTCTCCTCTTTGCTTGCCACCCTTCTCCTGTTTTTCTTGTTCCTCTCCTCACCTAGCTCCACACTGACATGGACAGAAATGATGGCCGCACTAAGTATATCCTGCGAGGTGAGGGGGCGGGCTCTGTCTTTGTGATAGACGAGAAAACGGGCAACATTCACGTCACCAAGCCACTGGACCGCGAGGAGAAGGATGAGTACCGTCTCATTGCCACGGCCACCGACAGGCAGACCGACCGTCCCCTGGAGCCTTCRTCGCAGTTCATAATTCGAGTGCAGGACATCAATGACAACCCTCCTGTCTTCGAAGAAGGGCCCTACAGTGCCACTGTGCCTGAGATGGCAAATATAGGTAGGAATGGAAGAGTCTGTTTGGACGTGGTTTTGGGTTTGTTGAAAGCTTGTATGGGTCTTCAAATAAATGAGACACACTTTATACAATACTCAAATAAACAAATGATACAGCACCAAAAAATATACTAAAATGTTATCAATAAATTGTATAAATTAATACATTTTGTAACCAGCTGTGATAGCTTTCTGAACATGATTCACAATGATGTATTAAAACAACTCTTGATTTTTTTGGTCAGACGTTTGAACATTTGTCTGAATCCTACTGAAAAAGATTTCAAATGCAAATCACAGTGTAAATAGTAAGTCAAAATATTCAAAAAATGGACCGCTGAAGCCCAACAACTTATATAAATGTGGCACTAAAGTTCAGCAAACTCACTACCTCCAATTTACCAGCTAGCTTCTATTAGGTAGAGCCAGTTGCAAATGGAGAACCAAGTGTAAAATAAAATGTTAAAAAATGTCACAAACACATTTTCATTATGCAGCCCATTCTCTCATTGTAAAATTCTAGCAAAAAAAAAAAAAAGTTCCCCTAGCTCACTGCTTTCATTTAGCAATTTTTTACTAAATGTTAACCTGCAGGCCTATAATACCATAAAACACCTTAAAAAGTACACACACATTAAATGAAGTACTGCTTTTGAACCCTTTATAGTAAATTCACAAGCTTGGTCTCTTTTTAAAGCTAATAATCTGAATTTTAAACTTCAGCAGTCATATTCATTGTAAATAGTGTTTACTATGTTGAAGAAAGAATACATAAAAATCAAGATATTTTTCTCCCTAAATTTTTTTATTTTTTATTAATAAAGTATCACAGAACATAAAGGGAATGAGATATTAGGA